GTGTCATTTTTTGTGGCAATAGAAAAAAAAATAATATTAACAAAAACTAAATCATTAGACTATACTTTTATTTTTCACATAAATTTATTTGTTAATATATTTATAAAATTATTTTTTAAAATTATATGTAATTTAAAATTTGAGCCGGGCACAACCTGATCTTTATGTGCTCAAACACGGCCCGATTCATACTCATGTCCAAGCACACTTTTTCATGCCGAGTTTGGATCAAATTTTTTTATTGTATCTATTTTTGACAACTCTAACTCAATCTCAAATATTCTTTTTGTCTTTTATCGTCAAATTAGTAATTTTATTATATCTATTTTTTTTTTTTTTTTTTTTTTTTTTTTTTTTTTATCATTGCTCATTTCAAGCCCAAAAGTTTTTCTTTTAAAAAAAATATCCAGTGTTTTTTTTTTTTTTTTTTTGTAGGTCATGAATTCATTTTCCTATTCCTATGTCTATTTTTTTCACCACTTTTAAATTTTTGAGAAATTTCTCTCTACTATGGTCTGCACTTTGTCCAAAATTTTATATTGGTTACAAACTTCATTACATGCTTTAACAATTTTAAGGACAGACAGTAGGGTGTGTTTGTTTGAGGGTTTGGATTTTAAATTGGGATTTGAATAGTAAAAATTTTGAATTTGAATAGTTGCATGATTTGATATAAATAGGTGTTGATACGATGATTTGAATGTAAAATTGATTTTTAGTATAATATAAAAAAATAAACAATAGGTGTTTGATTTGATATTTTTGAGGAAAAAATGAAATAAATAGTTTATTTAAAATCCAATCCCCCGAACAAACACATCCAAGTAAATTATCTATCTTCTTTGTCATTTTCATTTTCACTGTTTGAAGTTTTTGCATGATCTTTGACATTAAGTGTTATATTCTTGGCAAGCTTTCATATTAAGAGAAGAATAATCCTCTTCTAAAAAATTATCACTTTGTTTAGACAATAATTACTTTTAGATTTTGGCACTATTTATTTTTTAAAAATATCACATCAACTATATATTTCTCTTATAAAATATCATATCAATTACTAATTTCTAACTATCTTCAAAATTTCAAAATTCTTCGAAAATTTGTCTAAGCAAAGTTCTTTTGTTATTGTCATTTTAATGTATTGGCACACTTAGATTTCTTATGACCTTGTACTCCATACTTTTACCAAGTAGTTTTTCTTTTTTTTTTTTTTTCTTTTTTTTTTGTTTTCTTCTTTTATTTCGAGGTTTTCTGAAATTTGACATTCGGAAATGTTTTATTTGTTCACCTGTTGGTTTGAAGATCAACGTCATTCTTTTCAAAATCTTAAATATCATCAAACATTTCCTTCAAAATTTTGTTAACTTTTTCTCCATTATGATTAGTTCTTCATCATCTAAATAATCTTCTTCGATAGAAATAATAACAATGATTCTCTAGAATCCTAGTATATATCAAACTAATTACGTGGGTATCCTCGAGCATAGGAAGCATATTGTATTTGGGTTATATATATATATATATTGATTGATCAATAATATAAAAGTATTTAAGGTGATCATATGTATCGGCAGACTCAATAAATTCTTTTTACTGATATCATAATATATAAATCACTACAAAAAATAATATATTTGTAACGGAATTCCGTCTCTAATGTTCACGTAGCTAACGTAATTCTATTACTAATTTCGTCTCTAATGTCATTAGTAACAGAAAAAAGTAGATTTAGAGACAAAAAAATTTTGTTACAAAAATAATTTTTTCTTGTAGTGAATGGAAATAAATAAATTTAAAAACTCTTATATATTAAAAAATATTAGTACAATATTTCATTCCGTTAACTTAATAAATATACATTTACCTTTTGAGTCAATTTAATATTAAAATTATCTTTATATTTACAAAAAAAATTATATAAATGTCATTATATTTGTATTATAAGACACTAATACTTCATCCGTCTCGTAACAAAGTATCCATTTTTCCATTTTAGTCCGTCTCATAACAAAGTATCAATTTCTTTTTTTAGTAACTGTACTGTCTACCTAACATTACAAATACCTTTACAACTTACAATTTATTACACAAATGTCATTACTTTTGTATTACACATACTAATAAGATTATTTAAGTTTTTTCTACTTTATTCTTACTATATTCAATATAATACTAATATTTTTAAAACTACGTGCAAAAAGCAAATAGATATTTAGTTCCGGGACGAAGGGAGTAGTATTTTTGTCATTTTTCCTATATTTGTACTACGTTTCGATATAATAATAAAAATTCAAAGATCAATAAGCAAAACACAAATTTAAACCTTTAAAGTGGACGGAGGGAGTATTATTTTTGTATGTTTTTATTTTAAAATATAAATTAATTATTTTAATTGGATTGAATTTAAATTATTTGAGTATTTGTGATATTTTAAATAGTCCACCTAATGTTTTTAAGATAATAATGCAATTTCAAATTTTAAATGAAAGTACTATAATTTTGTTTAGTGGTTAAATCATAAAAATTTTCTTTTAGTAAAATAAATCACCGGTGGCTTGTGTTATTACTGGGCATTTCATTTTTCTTCCCTCGTCATGGCCAGTGACCCCAAAAATGTCATTGACTCCCATTTCCCTCTTTCAACCATTCTTCACATGCTCACAATCAAATTATTATGAACTAATTATCTTATATAGCATAAACAAATGGTTCTTCTGGTTGCCTACCAAAATCCTATTGGCTATGTTGACAGCTTCATTCTTGTGCAGGAGGAATTATAAGAACAAAGAGACATCACATGGGAATAAGAGAAGATACGAGGACATGTAAAAAAATTCTACTGGAGATGAAAAAAAGAAACTCATTGAAACATATCAACAAAAAAGACAATTGTTGATCAAGATATTCTCGATGAGTTGAGGGAAAATGAGGATGAATTAGAAACTGTTCAAGAAATACACCTTGATCGGTCTAGAAAAATTGGAAAAAGACCAGGAACTGAACTTAATGGAGAAAAGAAAATGCCAAATGTGAATGGTCTATTGGATTTATTGTTCATGAAAAATCAGAAGCATCGGCTAATGAAAACAACTAAATAACAGAAAAATATAAAGAATGTTTGTGAGAAAAAAAACAAGAGCAATAACAAATAAGTATATTTCTCGATTCTTCCACAAAATTTTTATACCATTTAATGTTGCAAACCAAAAAGTTTTAAGCTAACGATCGATGTGATAGGAGATTATGGCTAACATCTAAAGCCACTGAGTTATCATGTATTGAGAATTCCTTTATTAAAAAGGGAACTAAAACTAAAAAGGAAGATGATGAAACCTGTTCAAACGGACGCTTAAACTTTGGGTATTTTATTATGTTTGATAGATGGACTGATAGAAAAAATAGAACATTGATAATTTTTTTGATTAATCGTCCATGCGGAACAATATTTGTAAAAAGCCTGAATGCTTCTCCATTTTTGAAGATAAGACAAAAAATATTTGAATTATTAGACTTCTTTTTAGATGAGTTCTGAGAGGAAAATATTGTCCAAATAGTTACGGAAAATATGACCATGCACATGCTTTTATAAATTTTGAATTTAAATAAAAAAAATAAAAAATTAATGAAAAAAAAAAACTGCAGCAACTGTTAGTTAGAGAGGAGACAAAGAGTTTCGCCCAATTTTTACTGTGCATAGTAAGTGCACAATGAATTTTCTCAAACCTCCATTGGGAAAAACACCATAAATTTTTAAATATTATGTATATTCTATTTATTATTTATTACTCTTTTCATCTTTTTTGAATATTAGTATTATAATGAATTGGGGTGAAAAAGACGAAAATACCCCTATGTAATATAAAATTAATGACATTTGTGTAATATAGTGTAAGTTGAAAAAATATTTATTATATTAGGTATGTAGTACAATTACTAAATTAAAAAAAAATAACCTTATTTTGGGATCGACGAAAATAGAAAATGGCAAACGAATGAAGTATTATATTTTTAATTCTTATATAAATTATTGACTTTGTGATTAGGTAAATATTTTCAAGCAAAAAGGAACCCAAATTTATTGGACACAATGTGCAGCTCCTTGTTTGGATTTAATATTAGAAGATATTGGAAAGATTCCATGAGTAAAAAAGACTACACAGCGAAATGGAATTTATGAATTTGATGAGAAAGTTCACAAATAAAATAGAATTGGTTAGGCATGAATTCATCCAATTTGCTACGATATTTCTGATTTTACAGATTTTGCATAAGCAAAAAATTAATTTTAAAAAAATATTCACTTTTAAGGATTGGTTGCAATCGAAGACAACTAAGTAAATTAATTATACAAAGACAAATGATATTGTATTAATGCCTGTATTTTAGAATGATATTTTGTATACTTTTAAGGTAATGGATCCTCTTGTGCTTGTGTTAAGATTGATGGGCAATATAAAGAACAAAAGATTGAGTACCTCTAGAAAAAAAAAAAAAAAAAAAAAAAAAAAAAAAGATTCCGCTATAAGACAAAGACATATATGGGCTCTCGGTAGTTTACAGTTTAAATTATAAATTTATTTTTTTTCCAATAAAGTTTATATATAATTCCGCCATTTTTTTCATAAACATATGTTGGCTCCATTTGGTGAGAAAAAAAAAAGGAAAAAAAAAAAAACAAAACTATGTCCAGCAAGAGATGATCCGGTAGTGTAAAAGTTGAACTTGTGACAATAAAGACACGAGTTCAAACTCTCCAACTCCTCAAATCACCTGTTACACATAATTCGTCTACTCTGGTTTGCGGGTTCCAAGTCATATAATAAAAATTTAGCCTAAATAAAATTATAGATTAGTAAAGATCCTGAGTGAAATCCTGAGAGAGTCGGGGGTACGTAGTGTACTACCCCATCAGATACCAAACCGAAGATTATTGACAAGCATAAGCGACACCACAGTACTACACCACTACTGCACCTCATCACAAATTAAATCCATCAACAAACCAAATGCTCATACCCATCATAATTTATGAATTATTAATTGATAAGTATATTTTAATTTAATTATTGGCAACAACAATTAATAATAATAATAACTACAATTTATTATATTAACACACATCTGTACAATCTCTACAATTTCGCATTTAATAATATGTTCTGTGTCGTCTCAGGGGCCCTCCAATCATTTATTTATTTATCATCTATATATATATATATCATAATAATTATTAAAAAAATATTAAATTAGATTAAATCATGAATTTTAAAATCAGGGATTATAGAAACGGCTTCCGCATCTGCATTTCCACCCAAGAGGCTTGTAGTTGGAGTACCTGTTTCCGGCCGCCGCCCATTGGGTGGCGGAGGACTCCAAATCCGCCATCGTCTTTTCCGGCCCGGCGGAGCTCCGCCGAACTCCGTCGCGGCCGGGCAGCGTCGGGACTTGCACAGCCATGCATGGATCGCACTCATTGCACTTGTTATGACAGCTCGGCGGCGTCGAGCCGAGCCGCGTTTTCTCGGCTGCCACCGCTCCTTCCTACAAAACCATATTTAAAATCGTATTATAAGCCAAATTAAAAAATAAAAAATATTACAAGGATTATTGTTAAATACCCTAATGGCGTTTGTAGGCCCTTTATGAATGAATGAGTGTGCAGAAGTGAGGAGTAAGAAGAGGGCCAAGAAATTAAATACAAAGGCAATGGAATTAGGAGGAATTAATGGGATCGGATAACAAGTCATGGCCATGGCTGCATTTTTCTGTGATCTTCTTGATTAGGGTTTGTTTTTGTCAGAAATTGAGTTGGGCCATTTCTATGGAGGGAGGAATTGAAGAAGACAATAGAGAGAGGGGGCGAAGAGGGGTTGGATGAAAATGCTAGTAATTGGGATATGAGATGTTTTTATTATGGGGTGAATATGGTGGAGAGAGAACTACAAAATTAGAGCGATAAAAAGAAGGGTGGGTGAGGAAAGGGATTGAAAGGAACAACACAGACAGGGAAAGAAAACAAGAAAAGGGACAGTTAGCCAATATTGTGAGGAGGTCCCGGAGTTTGGATCCGGAGAGGTTGATGAACGGTGCGGATTGATCTGGCGTTTGAGGTCCCGGGAGCTTGGTAGGAGCGATGATGGTAGCCATGGAGACGAAGTCAAAGTTGTTTGCTATACGCATTGCTGGGTTGTTTGGAAAGCGAAACATCTTTCTTCTTCTTCCGCCAGGGGAAGAAGAAAGAAAGGGGTTGTGGGGTGGGGTGGGGTGGGGGTGGGGGATGTGGGGGTAGGGGTAGGGGTAGGTTCACTTGTCATTAAATGCGTGGCAGATTACTAGAAGAGGTTTATATATACACATATATATGTGATCTTATTATTTCTGGAAATGGAATCAGAATTTGGGGTTTTGACTGAGGATTGACCGAGTCTGAAAGAACCAAACAGATACCAATAATGAATGTCTGTTTCAGTCTCACTAATAACTTCTTTGCAATTAGTTCTTCAATCACTTTATTATTATTATAATTATCCACAGAAAGAAATGAATCGGAATCCAGATATTACCGTTCAATCCCTTAATAATTTTTTTTTTTTTTTTTTTATTTTAGTTTATCCCATAATAAAGCATTCATTTTTTTTTTAAATCTACCTAACATTACAAATACCCTTTCAATTTACTCCCTCCGTCCAATTTCTATTGTCCTAAAGTATATTTGCACAATTTTTTAGGTAATTGTCTTTTTGTTATGAATTGACAAATTTGCCCTTAATTATATGGTAGAGATTAAAAGTAATAAATGAATGAAGGGTAAAAATGTAAAAATTTTATTTAAAAAAGGAAATAGGACAATAATTGTTGGACATCCCAAATAGGAAAGTAGGATATTAGTTTGTGGACGGAGGAAGTACAATATATTACACAAATGTTAATTTAGTCTTTTTATCTTTATTTTTACTTTATCCCAATATAATACTAATATTTCTAAAACTCCTTGTAAAAAATAAATAGATATATAAATATAGGAAGGAGGAAGTATAATGTAGTGTCTTCATTTTGTATGGTGTAGGTTGCCATCGATTTTGGATATTGTTACAAAGGTATCAAATTTCAGTTTTGAAATTGATTTCGAACCTATAAAATTTATAGAAAATTCGATGAAAATTTCAAAATATTTGAAACTTTAGTTTCAATTTAAAAAAATATATTCTCTCCTGACTTTAAAAGTATATATCTATTTATTTTTTTCAAGTGAGTTTATGTATATTAGTATTGTTTTAATACGTAGTAGGAATAAAATAAAATTGACTCAAGTAATTTTTTAAATATAGTGTAATATAAATATAGTGATATTTGTGTAATATATTGTAAGTTGTAATATGATTTGTAATGTTAAATAGATAATATAGTTACTAAAAAATTAATATTATGAGACATACCAAAATAAAAAAATAAATAATTTGTTAAGAGCCGGAAGAAAGTATATGAAAATTATTAAAAATTTTAAAAATTTCTTTCTAATAGTATTATTTTAAAAAATTGAAAATAAAAATAATTGATATATAATATAAAAATAATTAAAATATTATTTACTTAAAAAGTATATAGATAAACTATAATAGAAATTCAAACATAATACTCCCGTCGTCTCAGATACCGTATCTGCTACACTGTAGACACGGTATTTTAGGAGGGATATAATTAGTAGATAATTAAGAATGTATTAGTGAAAATAATTATCCTATAATATAAATAATTATAAATTAAGATTAAAATAATCAATTAGTTTAATTAAAATTAAAATAAAATAAAATTTAAAATGAGATTAAAGTGTGTAATTATTTTCCAAAAAAAAAAAGTGACATGGTACGTGGAACGGATAGAAACGACAACGTGAATATGGTATCTGGTACGGATGGAGTAACAAACTTTAATACTAATAGGTTGAGAAAGGGGAAGAAGTTGTACTTTAAAAAGGCTGTGTTTATTTTGTAAAATAGATGATTTTTTTTTTTTAATGAGTTAGAGAGAATTTACATAGAAAATATAAAAATAAGAAATATGTATAATATATTAAATTTTTAGGGGGAAATGTTAAAAAAAAAAAAAAAACCTTAATAATACATTCATTATTATTATTAACAATTTTAATTTATTATTACTAATAAAATTAAATAGTTATTATGTTAAATTTGAATATGATATAATTCTTTTGTATATTTTGATTCTTTTATAAATTAAAATATAATACTCCCTCCGTCTCATAACAAAGTATTTATTTTTCCATTTTACTCCGTCCCATAACAAAGTATTTATTTCTTTTTTTAGTAACTGTACTATTTACCTAACATTACAAATACCCTTACAACATTCTTTTAGCGTAGTGTATTTTAAAAAAAAAATTATACCTGTGTACACGTATAGAACGTGTCGTTTTGATTATATAGCTGATTATATAGCTAGTTAGAGCATCTTCAATGTAGCTGCATTTTTAATGCTATAGCTGCATAAATGAGTTTTGCTCCTCCAATCAAGCATCAATTATGATATTTGCTACAGTGCAACACTATTTTTGGTGTTGGTATTTTTTTTTGTTTTTTTTTTTTCCTTTTTTTTATTTTAATTCTTTGATTTATTTATTTTTTTGATATTTTTAAAAGATAATATTAATTATAAATATAAAAAGTGATTTAAAATAATGTATAAAATAAAATATTTGATGAATTATTAGTTATGGATTTAGATAAAAATCCTGTATTAACGATATTTTTTTGAGTTAAAACTTCAATAGAATTCGTGGTTGAAGATGACTTAAACACATTACTTTTTGTAAAGTAACATGCCGTGGCTCTGTTTGTTTAAGTAAAACTGTAAAAATAATAAAATTGATTCAATTTTCAAAGCATTATATTTGACTCCGTTTTACTTTTTATTTTTATTTTTTGAAAAAATATATCATTCTTTCTATTTAGAATATAGCACATATTAACAAACAACTAATGGGACTTTACTAAATCAATCTTCCCAATTATAGCATACCTTTAAATATTACATAGCACATTTATATTCTCTCTCCGTCCCACATATCATGTCATTTTCTTTTTTTGAAAAATGATTACATACTTTAATCTCATTTTAAACTTTTTAATTTATTTATTTTTTAAATTTTAATTAAATTAATTAGTTATCTTAATCTTAATTTATAATTATTTATATTATAAAATAATTATTTTCACTAATACATTCTTAATTATCTACTAATTACATCCCTCTTAAAATACCGTGTCTACATTGTAGCAGACACGGTATATGAGACGGAGGGAGTATAAAAATTATATTCAAGTGAATGTTTAAATTTAGGCACATAAGCATTGGATTATCATTCTACTAGCACATTTCAACATATAACATACTGATAGGTTATTAGCTTTATGATCTAGATTTGGCGCGATACGGACTCGATTAAATCAGCAACCTGCCGACGCTGCTAAGCGCCACCATAAAAGATAGAAACATGAAACAAGAATGAAGACATGCTTACATATGACTACCTTCACCACATTAAAGCCCAATGTTAGAAACTACCATCAAACCATTCAATTGAGGAGTGTGATATCACGACTGATCATAGACAATGCTTTATCTCCAAATATGGCTATGCATGAATGGTTAAGAAACTCAATTCCATTGCTTGTTCTAATATGTTTTATTCATTCCGTCCACCAAAATTATCTCACTATTTTTATCTTTCTATCGTACACGAAATTTATGCACAATTCATGTAAAGTAAATAATTTTATCCCCCTGCAATTTTATTACATATTTTTTAACAAATAATAAGCAATTTGCCACTTTTTTTTTTTTTTTTTTTTTTTTCTATTTTCCCCCTACTTTATTACTTCATCCGTTCCACAAAAAGTGTTTAAGTTACTGTAGACGTGGAAATTTAGGTAATTGATAATTAATAAGTAATTAAAAAGTGTATTAATAAAAATAATTATTATATATAAAAAATAATTGTCGTTTAAAATTAAAATAACTAAATAGTTTAGTTAAAATTAAAAATTTCAAAATTATGAAATTAAAAATGTAATTAAAGTATATAATTATATTTTCAAAAGAGGAAAAACAGATTACGTGGGACGGACAAAAATAGAAAGAGTTGACACTTTATGTAGGACAGGATGAGTATTTTTTTTTTTTTATCAATTATTTAATAAATTTCTATAATACTATACTTTATTTTTTTTACCTATCCTACGTTGTATTAACATATTATTATTTTTTAGTCTTTATGCCCGATCAAACTTACATAATTTTACCAGCAGAGTGAGTATTATAATTCAAACTTAAATATGAATCCTACTTTAATATTAACATATTATTATGTTTTAGTCTTCGTATCCAATCAAACTTGCATAACTTTGCCAGCAAAGTGAGTATTATAATTCAAACTTAAATATGAATCCTAATTTAATATTAACATATTACTATTTTATAGTCTTCGTACCCAATCAAACCTACATAATTTTCCCAGCGGATTGAGTTTTATAATTCAAACTTAAATGCGACAGCCACTTAGTTCTCCGAAACAAGAGATCAAAGTGATCTTCTTCCTTTTTCCCAATAAGACGACGGCCTTACACCATTGGGATACTTCGAATAAACTGGAGTACATATAGGATACACCGGTGCTAAAACCTTTTCTCAAGATATCTTCTTATTACACTCGTAGTCTCTGAAGGATGAGAACCAACTATGTAGCATCTACATTGAGAATTCAAGTATTGTATACGCCATTAGTCCGATCCTTTGTGACGGATAAATGATACAAAACCTCATCAAAGGCTTCCTTCTTGGTATAAAAATGCATATACATTACACATTGCAATATGTAGAGATGCTTTCACAACAAGAACAGCTCCAACTGTATCCACACTAGCACAGATGTTCAGTTTCTATACATACCTCAGCATAATGTATTCAATTCACAAAGGGCGCGCCGCCGAGAACCAGCCATGGAAGACAAACAGACATCAAGCGCGCAAGAATTCTAGTGAGCCAGCCTGAGTTTAATTTAGGCGCGCAGAAATCTACAAACTAATTGCATTACTTTCCCCCTCCCTCATCATCAACCTTGCAAATGTCGCCATTGATATTTCTCGCTGGCTTAGTAGCCGAAGGCGCGCTGCTGCTGACAAATGACTTAATGTGACGGTAGAATTCCTTTGTCTTCTCCATGTTAATTGCATGCCCTGCATTCTTCAGCACTACAATCTCCGCATTGTGTTCCAAATATCTGCAAAAGAGAGTCGCGCAGTTGTAGAAACAATGCACGAAAGTAATAGAGTTGCGCGATAGAATTAATTGAGGCTTTTACCTTTTTAATCTATGGCCTAATTCCAGTGGGAAAATTCGGTCATGTTCGCCCCAAATAATTAATGTCGGCTGTAGGAAGAGATGGGGGTAATGTTTCTTAGGAAGGATTTTAAATTTGAGAGAATGTGAAGGCGAAAATTATGAAAGAGACCTGAGAAATTTTAGGGAGATCTGAAAGCTTTCTGTCCTTGTGGAGTGCATAGATCAATTCCTTCCTTTCTTGAAGATTTTCCGTGCACATTACCTACAACGTCGTAGGCGTATCAGCTCCCAAGATTATTTGTAATAAGATCTTAGCTTGTTGTCGACAATATTCAAGTTGATGTCCCTCTCACAATGTATTGCAAATAGCTTTGCTATTCACATTCGATGTCTCTCGGAAAAGGGAAATTCTTAAATACAGACAACAAAGGAAAGGTAAAACTGCAGGAATGTTGTGAAATGCTGTCTGAATAACAAATGTTGCAAATTTATAAGGGAAATTGCAAAATATATCTCTTACATATACCGATTATCACTTTTGTCCCACAATTTTTCAATAGTAATTTATATCTCTTAGGATGCTGAAAAGTATTCGAATTTTGGACATTCAAACAACAATATTGTCTACATTGAAGACATTTTTGACAAGTTTTTCAAATTTGGCAGATGTCCAACACAATTATAGTATGGAAACAAAAGGTAAACAGCCAATGAGTTCATAAAGAATTTCCTCATAAGAAAGCAACATTTCAACTAATTCCAATTTGACAAACGCCAACCCTCTCAATCAAATCCAATTTACGAATCCCTAATAAAGATCAAATTTATAATATGATGAATCTCTTCCACCTAAAAAAAAAAATCATTTCACAAATTCGCAGTTAATACCAAAGAAACAACAATAGATTCATTAAGCTCCTCTGAGGAACGAACCAGTGCTTCAATGGCGGCTGAAAGAGAGAGAGACTCACATCAATGAAATCGGCGAGAAAGCAGGAGGGCACATTCCTGACAGGCTTATAAAACGACAACTTCACGAGTTCCCTGAGCTTGTCAGGAGTCTGCGGCAGCAAAACATCGATGGCTTCATCGACGCTCTTCACGCTGAACATCCCCGCCGCCATATCCTCCTCCTCCAAGCACACCCCGGCGCATCCTAGCACCACTCTATCCACCGCCGCGGGGAATTGCGCCGCCATGCTGTAGGCCACAAATCCGCCGTAGCTCAGCCCGACGACGCGCATCGGCTTGGCGGCGCCGATCGCCTCCACCGCCCGCATCACGCAACTCGCCTGAAACGCCTCGGTCCGGTCCGACCGGGTGGTGTAGGAATCGCCGAAGAAGATGAGGTCCGGGACGTAGACGTTGAATTTCAAGGCGAGGGGCGAAACGACGTCGTTCCACTGCCACATTGCGTTGGCGCCGAGTCCGTGGATGAGGATCAGAGTCGGCTTCTTGGGCTTGTGGGCTTTCGGGGCCCAGCAGTGGACGACGGTGCCGTCGCCGAGGTCGGCGGTGGTGGACCTCAGTCCGGCGCCGGAGAAGGAGAATCTATAGCAGCTGTCTCTTGATGCTGTGAAGCTCAAACACCTGTTCGACATTTCCCGGCGGAGTTTTCCGATCGATTTATCGATTTTTGTTTCAGGGCAGGTCGATTTTATCGAACTCCTTTTTGGGAAAATTAAGGAGGATAGATCTAGCAAGATTTTGTAAGAACTTTTATTACTTCTGGGAAATCTGTGGGCAGGGAAGAGCAAGAATCTCTGTAGCTCAGCTACCTATTGTGTTTTTTTGGTTCAGACCCATTGATTAGTTTAGCTTCCTTTTTTATTAATTATTAAATAATTAAAAAGTTGGGGCCATATGTCGAAAGTAGACTCGAAACCATGTCGTGATGCTGATTTTTTTTTTTTTTTTAATATTTAGGTCTTGCGTCAAATTTATATTTAGAATATAATGTTTATGTATGAATACTTTTTAATTTAGAATTATGTTTTCAAATATAATATAAATTTAGAAATGTCTAAATCTTGAAATTGGAAATGTCGATGTTGTTAGTCAAATTGAATATGGCTAGTAGTAGTAAGATTCTAATATAATTTTGGACCACAACAACAAAACCTTTGTATACTAATATGACCCATATAAATGCAAAACATATGGTAGATTTCAATTTATAAGAAACATAATTTGAATCATACCTAAATAGAAGTTGGAAATAAATAAGAATAAAAATATAAACTAAATATAAACTTAAATAGAAATGCATTATTTAGAAGTATATAAAACAACTTATTAATCACAAAATAGCAGAATCAAAGAAATGCACAAGTGTGAGCATGAAATAAACTCAATTTTAAAGATAGGATGGTGCTTACAATTTACCTTATCATTCCGTTGAGATATTTATAGAAAAAAAATGTTGATAATGAATACCATGAAAGTGCATAAAATCTCTAACTTTTGAACTTTTAACATCGTTTTAAAGAATTTTAATTTTATTTAAAATTTAAGTGCAAACAAAACTTTGAACATTAGTCAGTATACCATAAAAGTCAAATATAATGGTATAATTCTATATAAATAAAAAAAAAAAATCATCCACAACGATAATGTAATAATAAAATCTAGTAGAAGTAGAAATTGGTAAAGGATCTATAAATTATAGTGTTTAAATCAATAACATTATTAGTACACATTCTTCGTTCGACTGAAAAAAAAGTTTTTAACTCTTTGCTAATCGGTGAAAGAGCAAATAGTAGAATTTGAAAAAAATAAATGTAACAGACAAGTGATCAAATTTAAATAAACAAATAATAAAAAAAGAATATGTCCCTAACATAAGTGTCACAAATCAAAATGAGCCTTTAAAACTTTATTTTGGAATGTAGCAACCAAAGTCGGAACCCTTGATCAAGCAAGTATAATCACCTATAACACTTTCTTTGATCCAAAATTTCTGTCATACATTTATGAATTCAAAGACCTCATCATAAAAATAACATCAACATGAAAGTCAAATGTTAATTTAGATGAAATATATTTCATGATATGAAGAACCAAAAAAACATCTAATAGTTAAACATCGACAAACAATTTATGAGAACCAATATGCGAGATTTCTAAAGAATTTTCATTACGAACAAAAATAAAACTAGTACCAAAATAAGGTCCATAAGAGTCCAATATAGTAGACTGGTTGGTTATTTGAGCAAACGTGCCTAAGTAAAATTACCAAACAAAAGCAGATGAAAAAACATTGCAATATGAGGTAATAGTCTAGCTAAATTAGCAACCAAAAAAAAAAAAAAAGTTGATGAAAGCTGTGAAATTGAGACATTTATATGCATAATGAATTATACAATAGATTTAACAATAAACATAAGATTGGTAGTTTGATCCGACGGGTGAACATTCTTACTCGACAACCTACGACCATGATATGAGTTCCAATTCCATAGTATATTGTGATAAGTTATAAATGCTGTCGGAGAAACGAAACATTTCATGGCTTGGAGCAGAAGATTGTATTGATTGGCTTGATTCAATGAATCCCAAAATATGTAAATGAAAGATAGAGCCATGCGACGGTTTGTGAAATAAGTAAATTGATCACCAAAACCATGTAAAAATCAATGAGTCCTATTGGTTTCATCCACCTCACATTTAATACAATTCAATTGATAATGTAAAATCTTAAATTTTCTAACATATTTTTCTATAAAAGAATCACAATGATAAATAAAAAGAAGTTTCTCCCAAAGTTGATGATAACACCATGCAGAAGAGGGAACATCCTTGAGCGTTAACCATCTATTTCATGAGGTAAGCAAATCAATAACCTCTAAAGCAGTACCTTTGGAAAAGAATAAATAATCATAGTTAAAAATTTCCTATATTCTACCTTCCAAGCGGTGTACGCATGGTTGAAGAAAAAAGTACCGCCCTAAAAACCAAGTGGCGGATGCGTTATCGACGGTAGTTTGTTCTATCATGGGTTCCCGAATCCTTAGTCCTTAAAAATATCCTGGCGGCGGTTCGTGGCTTTTTTCGGGCGGATGCAGCTGGAGTCCCGAGTTTTAGATTTTGACACTAGGTATCATTATTTGTTTTACTAATGAGCTTTACTTAGTAGTTTTTGCTTGCTTTATTTCCTTGTTTAGTCCTATTAGTTTTAGCGTTTGTTACTTAGGCTAGATTTATAGACTTACTAGTAGGTTGGTGCTTGTTTTTACTGTATTGCATGTTTCTCATCATGATATATCCACCTATCACACTTTGATACAAAATCTCTAAAGTACATATGATACTTCACTTTATCTACAGATAGGAACATCATATGTTTACAAAGCTTGCACGGCCACCATATACTATTTTTTATTTTATAGACATTTGGATTGTTTATACAATAGTTTATAGTTCAAAAATTCATCAATGCCATTAATAAATTCTCAACATAGAATACCGCTACACATTTTATTATATATCCTCGCTTTTAATATTTGTATGAAATTGCTATAGACATTAATTCAAAAATAAAATATGTTGTTAGAAATTGTGACCAAGTATGCATAAACTTCATAATTATGACATCATGCTTACTACTTGATCAAAAGACCGAAAAATTATTAAAAAAATAAATCATCAAAGAATAATTAAAATCAAAATAATATTTTTAGGATACAAAAAATAAAAAATCAACAAAATAATAATACTAAATTTTTTGAAAATAAAAACTAAAATGATTTACATAATAATAATAATAATAATAATAAAACAAAACTTGTGGAGGGCAGACCGTTGTCGCCCTTCTTGATAACAGCCGCCACCGATTACCAGCAAGTGGCCATGGTTGGCGACTGATGGCCGTAGCCACCTGCTGGCTGCCACGTGCGGTGAAAAACAAGAAAAAAATATTGTCAGATGTAGCTTAGAACTGCTGTTTGCGGCCACCGCACTTTGTCGTTGAACTTTGTTATGTTGTTGTTCTCCCGTAACCCGTCGTTCGCCATTGCCACCACATCGTTTGAGTCATCCGTTGTTGTTTGTGAAGGATCCTTTGATAATTTCTATTGTTGTTACTGACGGAATTGTTTGATACCTAAATTATGTCGCTAACATTGACAAAACCCTTTATGAAATCGCCAAAATATGTTGTGAATAAGGACAAATTTGTTCCGTCTGTAATTTCCGTCGCTAATGTCAAATACACTATGTGTCTCTTCCTTTCGTCCATAATTCCAATGCTAATAGGGGCAATTTGAAAGTCCATTGAAAAATTATATTATAAAATTGCCGTTTTTATTTTTTTATTTTTATAGTGTTGGTATTTTGGTATATATCGCTATACCTATATAAGTTGAACATTGGTATATATCAGTATCGTAATATATCGTAAACTTTAGTTTGCTAATGGTATACCCATTGGAATCGGCACTCGAAAAGACTCTAAACTGTAGGTAATCATGCCTCAATGTGGAGGTCGGCTTGAAACTCTAAATCTTGACACCCATTGGAATCGGCACTCGAAAAGACTCTAATCTCACCGGAAAACACTCGTCGGAACTTACCTAGAACTCGCGGTTTTCCTCTTCCTCCATCTCACTCGTCCATTCTTCTCCTAACATACAACCTAAGTCACACCTTATATTCTCTCTCTAAACCATCATTACCTATTTCTATATTTATATATGTAGAAACTTCCCCCAAAACTAACCCTATAACAAACCCACAATTTAGTATCTAAATTGGTTAGGGTAAAGGATTAATGGGTTTGAGCTTGAACTTGAAATTGAGTTAAAGGGTTTAGGTAAAAGAGAATTGGGCCGATTCGGTGGGCCTCGCTAAGGAGTGGACCAACTAATTATTTATCGAGAAACTCGTTGGGTTAGGCCTTGAACGGCCAAAATTTCCATCAATCTCCACCTATTTTGGTCGTGATTTAACCAACTCTCAAATACATATTTACTAGTGTTGATGTATTTTTTCAACAATAAAAAGTAAAATCCGAAAATAGGAAATTATCTTTGAATTGATATAATTAGTGCTGAGATTAGGAATCTCTAAACACTGTAGAATACATAAATAAAATAGAAAAATAAAATTAAAGACCGGAAAATAAAGTGGTGATCCCCAAAATCAATTATCTTGAATTTGATGTCGATTGAAGATGATTGAAGATAAAAAATCCACACCCTTAAATATTCCTTCAAGAAAACGTTTCAGAACCGTCGCCTGTGGTTGCAGCAACCACCCATTAATTCCTCATTTATTGCACGTGTCTTTAACCGTCTCGCCAAACGCTGCCACCAGTTCCAGAACTCAACTGGCCCGACCGACTATTCCAGAGACTAACTGGTCGCTAGACCAAACGACTTATTGGTTGCCCCATCAAGTGACCAACATCTGATCTCTCCAGACGATTCAATGGTCGCCTCAACCAAGCAACTTGTTGGTCCGACCGCAGACCTTCCGACTTTTTGTTCCAGCTGCAAACCTCCCGACTTGCAGACCATCCGACTTGTTGGTCCAGCTGCAAACCTTCCGACCTGTAGACCATCCGACCTGCAGACTTTCCGACCTATGGACCATCCGACCCGTTAACCAACCGACCTGCCCATCTGATCGCGGACCTTCCGACCTGCCTATTCGACCGAGGACCAACCGACCTGTTTATCGGAATGCGGACCAACCGACCGAGGACCAACCGACCTGAGCGCAAATTTTTCTCCTTTTCTACCCGACTTCGCGTCTAACTTCCTTTAAGATCCTGCTATCCTTATTTTTATTATTATTATTATTTTTTGTGTATA